CGCCACGGAGCGAGAAGCTGAATTATTTACCGAATAACGGAATGATAATATGGGATGCAGAGTACTGTCATGTTTGGACCAAAGGTTAAATGGTAGCCAAGGTAACACGGGCTCAGACAGACTTTCTTAAAGCAATTTTACTGTTTTTTTTGTTTTGTTTTTTTAATATCCTGGGGATTAACTTGACCTGGTGAACTGTGAAAGGATAATGGTAATGAACTGAGAGTAATCACTAGTTATGACTAAACCTCTTTGGTCCATAACAATATGCCGGTGGAGATCAATCGTCACAGGGACTCGTGTCCAAAGGTCATTAGTCCGTGAGGTGTAGCTGAGCGTTATAAGTGTTCATGACCCACTAGTGTTCGTTCGTCAGCAGTGGTAGACCTTATAAGGTTGGGTTCACTACCACTGGTGGCTGGTCGAAGACGTATGAGAGGAGGAGATGGATAGTATGAGGAAGAGAGAGGGATAGGGATGAGGAGTGAGGGATAGGGATGAGGAGTGAGGGAGAAGGGAAGTAGGGGGTTGGAGGGATGAAAGGAAAGGGAGATAGAGAAATCTGAGGGGGGAAATGGTTATGAGAGGAATGGAGAAGGAGAGGGAGAATTTCCCCAAAATTTCCAATTTCGAACATTTTTCCTCAAAAAATAAAATACAAAATTTTTTTCAAAACTTTTCCAAAAATTTTCAAAAATTAATAAAACCCAACTGCTGTGACATCATTACACACTACTATTACGTTATCACCAACGGCTGTAACGTCATCACCAACTTATGTGATGTCATATCAGGTGATATGACGTAATTACCAAATGCTGTAACGTCATCACCAACTTATGTGATATCATACCAGGTGATATGACGTAATAACCAAATGCTGTAACGTCATCACCAACTACTGTGGTGTCATACCAGGTGATATGACGTAATAACCAAATGCTGTAACGTCATCACCAACTTATGTGATATGATACCAGGTGATATGACGTAATAACCAAATGCTGTAACGTCATCACCAACTACTGTGGTGTCATACCAGGTGATATGACGTCACAACCAAATCCTTTAATGTCATCATCAACGACTGTAACGTCATCACTAGCTGCTATGACGTCACCATCAACTACTGTGACTTCATCACCAACGGCTGTGACGTTATCACCAGGTTAGAGTTGAGTAGGTCAGGTCAGGTTAGAGTAAGTTAGGATAGGTCAGGTTACAGTAGGTCAGGTCAGGTTAGGTTAGAATAGGTCAAGTTAGGTTGGAGTAGGTCAAGTTAGGTCAGGTCAGGTCAGGTTGGGTTTCCTTTGAACTTCAATTGGCACAAACACCACGAGAGATTATCACTCACGAAAAATAATTTTTTTATCAAGATTCTTCAAAAAACAGAACCAGGGAAACACGGGTGAACCAGAGGAGGAAGATGGGAGTGGGGGAAGGAGAGGGATGATGGGAGAGGGATATGGAGAAGGAAAGGGATAGGGGAGAGGGATAAATAAAGAGAGAGGGGGAGGGGAGAGCCCCTGATGCCACTGTCACCGGAAATGTCAACAAAATCCTACACGCTATTTCTGCATTCGGGAAGGAACCATTAAGAGAGTTTAGAAACGGAAAGAATTGAAGTGCATTTTTCTTTCTATGGGAATGAGTTCTTGGAGTACTCGAAGCTCTGAACACTATTCGGTTTCCTCAACATCGTGAAAGTTCCAACACTCGATGACTTGTCCAAAGCAGAGTTGTGCTCAGCTAGGTACTGCACAGTTGCTATAATACATGTTAGAACCGATTGCCAAACGTTCCTTTTCTTTATTCAGGTCTTGTAACGTGAGTGTATCTATGGTAGTCATTGAACACAACCTTCTTTTCACTTCCATCCATTTGGTTAAGTAGACTAAGTGTTTATGTGATGACTCATGAGATTTTATTCTTTCACTTAAATACTTCCAGTCAGCACAGCCCTCTTTTATTAATTCATGTGTTGTGTTTGAACTGTATAATCACTAACCAGGAGAGCGCGGGGCCAGTGCCCAGCTCCCCCCCTTCGGGACGGCTCTGCTGGACGTCACTGAAGTCTAGTGACCCCAACGTCTCCTCTTACCTCTTGATGACTCTCCTTCACTTATCAACAACCAAAACTAACCTAACAAAAACTGCTTAACGTGATGTAACGTAACGTAACATAACCAAACATAACCATACCTAACCTCTTGCCTCACCCTGTACAAGCCCTTCTTAGAGCTAAAAAGCCGTGAAACGTGGCATGGCAGCATAACCTCTCTTGCCAATAACCTCACCTGACCCTAATTACAGGTCTATTTAAAAAAATACATATTGGTTCTCTTTCCCCAGGGAATACCGTCATCACTTCCTCTATATATACTGTAGGAGCGTCTTTACAGGGTACACATTAGATTCTTCCACCCTAGACATACTCATATGTATAAACACACACACACACACACACACACACACACACACACACACACACAAACTTACACACCAAACACACAAACACACACACACACACACACACACACACACACACACACACACACACACACACACACACACACACACACACACACACACACACACACAGCAACTCCCGCACCATCAGGAGAGGAACACCGAACGACAGGTTGAAGTGCTCTAACTTTACCCTCGACCAGGGTGATGGACGACAATAAATGCCGCCTCAGTAGCATTTTGTCGCAATTACCATCTCTAGAGGCAGTTTACATCCCCGTGGTGGAACACTCGACGTCAGGGTCTGTAGAAGGGAGAGAGATAGCCTTGGAGTACCCTTGACTGGCCACGAGTGTTTGATGACAATATAAAACTCGGCTAAATAATCACCGCGCCCTCAGAGTCAACGCACTCGAGAGCTGCCCAAACACGAAGGGGCTCTAGGGCCCTTGAGTGACCTCTCCCCCCGATTCCCCACCACCCCTCCAGGTCTCTCTTGCTGGCGAGGTGCTGTCCACGCTTCTGCCCCACCCTGTGGCGTCCTTGTGTACCTTTCTTGTTGGTCGTTTTGCCTTTTATTTACATTCTAATTGGTTACTCTGGTACCTCTTGACTAGTTAGGTGAGAAACGCGTGTCTGAATGGCAGCAGAAGGAAGGGTTCTTGGTAGCGGGGTCTCCTGGCTGAGGAACACCCCGACTGGGAGACCCGATACATGATATGGATGTCTAAATATTGTCACTGTGGTTTTGTAAAGCTCTGCGGGGCCTTTAATGTTCGCTTCTGATGGAGGATCTGCCCTGCTGCCGAGGCGGGGTGCCGCCTGCTGATCAGCTCCGCCTGGCCAGATTGGCTTCGACAACTGAGATAAACTCGACGTCCATTAGCTAGAAGGGGCGAGGCACTGCTGGAGGGGAGGACATCAACTAGTTACCATAAGTAGAGGGCGACACGGAGATAGGGAGAACACCACAGTAGTTTAGCATTTAGTTAAAGGAAAGAGTTTAAGGGGGACCAGTTAGTTTTACGATTAATAAATGTTGTCATAGAACGATCTGCAGACCATATTAGTAACTCATTAGGAACCAAAGAAGAGAGTGTAGGAGGAATAAATTAGTTACCCATTCACATAAAAATATAAACAAAAGATGAACGATACGTTAAGTAAGTCTCCTATTATGAGTTAGAGACGCAAATAAAGTTTTATTAGATTGTTAAAAGAGAAATTTCGAATGAGGATTAAATATAAAATTACTTATTTATGAAAAAGGTAAACGGTATAGGAAGGAAAAATTACTTCAGCTCACCAACTCGTACAAATTAAAAAAACTAAAACAACAAATTTCCAAGCAGAATAAAAAAATGCTTAAAATTTTCAATAAATTAAAAAAAAAATATATATATTTTTTTTAATTTCCAAAAATCAAATAAAAAATCATAAATTAAAAAAGAAATCCCCTCTCCCACTCTTTCTCTCTTCCCTCACCATTCCCTCCTCTCTTCCCTACCCCTCACCATCACAATTTTCACCTCACCTCCACCATCACTACATCCCTCTCCTACCATTTACTCCTTTTCCTCCCCCCCCCCGGCATCTACACCACTTCCTCCCTCCCTCTCCCCTCACCACCTACACCTCTCCCTCCCTCCCTCTGTCCCACCCTCCCCCCTCTCCTCCCTCCCTCCCCTCACCCATCCCACCCCCACCCCCTCTCCCTCTCCCTCCCTCCCTCTACCATCTACCCCTCCACCCCACATCTCCCCTCTTCTCCCTCCCCTCTCCCCTCACATCTACACCCCACCCCTCTCCCACCATCCCCCACCTCCCTCACCATCCCACCTCCCCATCTCTCCTCTTCCACCCCCTCCCCTCTGTCTACACCTCCCCATCCTACTCCTCTCCCCACCCCCCTCTCCTCTGTCCCCCTCCTCTCACCATCTACCCCTCCCCATCTCTCCCTCTCCCTCCCTCACCATCCCCACCCCTCCCCATCTGCTCCCTCTCCCCTCCCCCCTCCCCTCCCTATCCCCCCTCATCCCCTCTCCCCCCCTCTACCTCTCCTTCTATACCTTTCCTCCCTCTCCCCCACCATCTACTCCTCCCTCCCCTCTACATCTACCCCTCCATCCCCTCTCCCTTAACCTCCTCTCTCTCCCTCCCTCACCATCCTACTCACCCCTCCATCCCTCTCCCCTAGCCCTCTACCCTCCCCCTCCCCTCACCTTCACCCCTCTCCCTCTTCTCCCTCCCTCCTGTCCTGCCTCATCCCCTCTCCCCCTAGCCTCTACACCTCCCCCCCCACTACGACCATTACACGTCAGCGGCACCCCCATTCAAAAACAATATAATGGGGAGGATGGAGCCCCACCCCACACGGGCGGTATCGACAAATTCATCCCGATACTCAATAAATAAAGGGAGAGTCACATCCCTTAAGCCGCACCCGTGTATGTGGGAGAAAGATATCCTGGTTTAAAGTTTGTAAAGTTGAGATAGACGCGGCTGGGAGAAGGTTACAGTGGCCGTCCATCATGTTAGAAGGTATTGGAGAGATAGGCAAGGTGAGGCCCGTGTCTAATGATTATAAAGGAAGATGATTGGTGATGGTGGGTGGGTGGGTGGGAACTTTGCTCAACGTTCATGTATATTATTTATATTATTATTGATTATTTATGTATTATTATAATTATTGTTATTGATATTATTATTAATATTGACAGACGCAGCAGAAGCAGTAGCAACAAAAGTGTTAACAGCAGATGCAGCAGCAGCAGCAGCAAAGGGTAAAGCAGCAGTAGGAGCAACAACATCAGCAACAGCAGCAGCAAAAGGAGCAACAAAAGCAGCAACAGCAGCAGCAACTACAACAGCAGTAGCAAAGGGTGCAGCAGAAGCAGCAGCAGCAGCAACAGCAGCAGCATAAGCGGAGGCAGCAGCAGCAAAAGTGACAACAGCAGCAGCAGAGGCAGCAAAATCAGCAGCAGCAGCAGCAGCATTAGAGGCAGCAAAAACAGCAGCAGCAGCAGAAAAAGGTGCAGCAGAAGCAGCAACAGCAAAAGCATTATCATCAGCAGCAGCAAAACCAGCAACAGTAGCAGCAGTAGCACATGGGGAAATGACAACGAGGGATTGCCTTGAGACAGCAGCAGCAGCAGCAGCAGCAAAGCCAAAGAGATGCAGCAACGAGACAACAACAACTAATACAAACAGCAACCTGAAAAAGCAGCAGCAGCAGCGGCAAAGCCAAAGCAGCAACAGCAGCAGCAACCACAGCAAAAAGCAAAAGCAAGCAATACAGCAGCAGCGAGCAGCAAAGTGTTCTGCACAGCAACACAACGACAGCAACCAGCAGAGGCAGCAGCAGCAGAGACAGCTAAAGAAGCAGCAGCAGAAGCTGCAAAGGGAGCAACAGAAGCAGCAGCAGCATCAACAAAGGGTGCAGCAGCAGCAGCAAAAGCGACAGCAGCAGCAACAACAGCACCAACTTAAACGCAGAAGCGGTAGTAGCAGAGGAAGCATTAACAGAGGGTGAAGGAGAAGCATCAGCAACAAAGTGTGCAGCAGCAGCAGAACCAGCAGCTGCAGCAGCAGGAAAGTGTGCAGCATAAGTAGCAACAGCAGCAGCAAAAGTGGCTGCAGCAGCAACAGTAAAAGCGACTGCAGCAGCGGCAGCGGCAGCAACAACAGCAACAACAACAGCAGCAGCAGCAGCAAATTAAACGCAGCAACAGCAGCAGCAAATTAAACGCAGCAGTGGCAGCAGCACCAGCAGAAGCAAAAGCAGCATCAGCAGCGCAGAAGCAGCTGCAAAGGGCGCAGCAGCAGCAAAATCAGCAGCAGCAAAACGTGCAGGTGAAGCAACAGCAGCTGCAGCAAAGGGTGCAGCGCTAGCAGCACCAGCTGCAGCAAAGGATGCAGCAGAAACAGCAGCAGCAGCAGGAGTAGCAGCAGCAGGAAGAGCAAAACTAGCAGCAGCACAGCAGCAAAATAAGCAGCACCAACAGTAGCAGCAAAGTGCAGCAAAAGCAGCAGCATCAGCAGCAGCAGCAGCAAAGGGTGCAGCACAAACAGCGCAGCAGCTCCAGAAGCAGAAAATTAGCGCAGTAACAGCAGCAGCAGCAGCAGCAGCACCAGTAGTAAAACCGGCTGCAGCAGAGGCATCAGCAGCAGTAGCAGCAGCATCAGCAGCAGCAGCAGCAGCAGCAAAGGGTACAGAACAAACAGCAGAAGCAGCAAAAGAATCATCATCAGCAGCAGCACGAGCAGCAGCAGCAATCCGATGGCAGCAGCAGCAGCAGCCGCAACAACAACAAGTCAGCAGCAGTAGCAGCAAAGCAGCAGCAACAAAGCGTGCAACAGCAACCAGAAGCAGGAAAAGCGACAGCAGCAACCAGAAGCAGGAAACAGCAGCAAAGCAGCATCACCAGCAAAACCGATGTCAGCAGCAGCAGCAACAACAAAAGCAGCAGCAGTAGCAGCAGAAAAAGCAGCAACAGCAGCAGCAGTAGCAGCAGCAGCAACAACAGCAGCAGCAGCAATGGCGGCTGCAGTAGAGGCAGCAGCAACCTTAGCAGCATAAAAAGCAACACCAGAAACAGCAAAGCGTCCAGCAGCAGCAGCGGCAGCAGCAGCAGAGGTAGCAGCAGATACAGCAAAAGCAGCAGCATCATCAGCAGCAGCAAAGGGTGCAGCACAAGCAGCGCAGCAGCTCCAGAAGCAGCAAATTGGTGCAGTAACAGCAGCAGCAGCAGTAAAAGCGGCTGCAGCAGAGGCATCAGCAGCAGTAGCAGCAAAAGCAGCAGCAGCAAAGCGTGCAGCAGCAGCAGCAGAAGCAGAAAAGCGGCAGCTTAACCAGAAGCAGAAAAGCGGCAGCAGCAGCAACAGAAACAGCAGCAATGTAAGTAGCAGCAAAAGCAGCAGCAGCACGAGCAGCAACCGAACTCGATGGCAGCAACAGCAGCAACAGCAGCACGACAGCAATAAAACCGATGGCAGCAGCAGCAACAACAACAAAAGCAACGGCAATGCTTGGCAGCAAAAGCAGCAGCAACAGCAGCAGCAGCACGAGCAGCAACAAACCGATGGCAGCAGCAGCAAACCAACAACAAAAGCAGCAGCAGTAGCAGCAGCAAAGCAGCAGCAACAGCAGCAGCTGAGCAGCAACAAAACCGATGGCAGCAGCAGCAACAACAACAAAAAGCAGCAGCAGTAGCAGCAACAAAGCAGCAACAGCAGCAGCGGCAGCAAAGCAGCAGCAGCAGCAGCAGCAACTGACAAAACCGATGGCGGCAGCGGCAACAACAAAACAGCAACGATGGCAGCACCAGCAACGGCCAACAAAGCGACGGCAGCAACACCACCAGCAGCGGCATTAAAAACAACGGCAACAGCAAAAGCAGCAGCAGCAGCAAAACAACAGCAGCAGCAGCGGCAGCAGAAGCGGCAGCAACAGAGGCAGCAGAAAAAGGGTGCAGGAGAAACAACAGCAGCAGCAGAAGCAGCAATTCACCAGCAGGAGGAAAAGCAGCAACAGCAGCAACAACAGCAACAAAATTACAAGGAGCAGTAGCAGCAGCTGTAACTTTTAATGGAGAAGTAGCAAAAGCTGCAGCAGCAGCAGCAGCAGCAGCAAAACGTGCAGCAGAAGCAAAAGCAGCAAAACTAGCAGCAACAGCAGCACAGCAACAGCAAATTAAGTAGCAGGAACAGCAACAGAGGAATCAGCAGCAGCAGAGACAGCTAAAGTAGCAGCAACAGAAGCAGCAGCAACATCAACAAAGGGTACAGCAGAAGCAGCAGCAGCAGCAGCAGCAGCAGAGGCAACAGCAGCAGCAAATTAAACGCAGAAACAGCAGCAGCAGCAGTAAAGGGTGCAGCAGCAGCAGCAGCAGTAAAGTTGCAGCAGAAGCAAAGCTGCACCTGCACCAGCAGCACCAGCAGCAGCAAAAGCGGTAGAAGCAGCAGCAGCAGCAACAGCAGCAGCAAAGGGTGCAGCAAAAACAGCAACATGAGCAGCAAATGCAGTAGCAGCAGCAGCAGCAACAGCAGTTGTAGCAGCAGCAGCAAAGCGGTGCAGCAGCAGCAGCAAAGCAGCAAAGGGTGCAGCAGAAACAACAGCAGCAGCAGCAGCAAGGGGTGCAGCAGCAGCAGCAGCAAAGGATGCAGCAGAAGCAGCAGCAGCAAAGAGTACAGCAGCAGCAGGAGCAAGATGAAAACTAGCAGCAGCACAGCAGCAGCAAAATAAGCAGCACCAATAGCATCAGCAGCAACAGCAGCAGCTAAACTAGCAACAGCAAAGGGTGCAAGAGAAGCTACAGCAGCAAAGGGTGTAGCAGAAGCAGCAGCAGCAGCAGCAGCAGCAAAGGGTGCAGCAGATGCAGCAGCAGCAGCATCAGGAGCAGCATCAAAGGGTGCAGCAGAAGCAGCAGCAGAAGCAGCAGCAGGAGTAGAAGCAACAGGAGAGGCAGCAAGAGCAGAGCGTGCAGCAGGCAGCAGCAGAAAAGGGTGCAGCGGCAGCAAGAGCAGGAAAGCGGCAGCATCAGAGGCAGCAAAAGCAGCAGTAGTAGTAGAAGCAGCAGCAGCAGTAGCAGCAGCAGCAAAAGTGGCAGCAACAGCAGCATCAGAGGGTGCAGCAGAAGCAGAAACAGCAACAGTAGTAAGAAAAGTGGCAGCAGCAGCAAAAGCAGCAGGAGCAGAAAAAGCGGCCGTAGCAGAGGCAGCAACAGCAGCAGCAGCAAAAGCAGCAGGAGCAGAAAAAGCTGCAGCAGCCGACGCATCAACAGCAGCAAAAGCAGCAGCAGCAACATCAACAGGAAAACAGCAGCAGCAGTAAAAAGTGCAACAGACGCACCAGCAGCAGAGGGTCTATCAGTAGCAGCAACAGCAGCAGCTACAGCAGCAGGAAAAGCGGCAGCAGCATAGGCAGCAGCAAAACCCGCTACAGCAAAGGTAACACTAGCAGCAGCAACAGCAGCTCCAACAAATTGAACGCAGCATCAACAACTGCTGCAAAAGTGGCAGTAGTAGCAGCAGCAGCAGCAGGAGCAGCAGCAACAGCAGCAGCAGCAGATGCAGCAAATGCAGCAGCAGAAGAAGCAGCAGCAAAGGGTGCAGCAGAAGCCGCAGCAGCAGCAGCAGCAAAGGGTGCAGCTGAAGCAGCAGCAACAAAAGCAGCAGCATCAAAAGCAGCAGCAACAAAGGCAGCAAAAGCAGCAGCAACAGCAGAAGCAGCAACATCATTAGAGGCAGCAGCAGCAGTAGCAAAGGGTGCAGCAGAAGCAGAAGCAGGAAAATCGGCAGCTGAAAAGCAGCAGCAACAGCAGAAGCGGCAGCATCTTTAGAGGCAGCAACAGTAGTATTAAAAGCAGCAGCAGAAGCAGTGAATGGTGCAGTAGAATCTGCAGCAGCAGGAGCAGCAAAGGTTGCAGCAGCAGCAGCAGCAGCAGCAGCAGCAGCAAGGCTATTAATAATACGTAGGTTAAAATTCATGTTTACATCTTTATTCACTTTACCCAAGGAAATAAATTAATCCAAAACTCCTGCACCAAATTTATGGTCAAGAATGATCGCTATGTCGTTTTGGGAAGAACATTACTTTTTCTATAAGTTTAATTGTGTTATAAACTTGTCTTAGATATTCTTAGTTATGTGAGAAGCAATGTGAACTGATGTCTTTCTTAACAATTTACATTAAAATATTTTGAATTTGCTCCTTTAAATTACTTTAAATGAATATCAAAATAGTTTTCCCTAAAATTTTATGATGTGTGAAAGTAATAAAAAAAGGCAGGTAGTTTTAAAGTTATTGCTATGACGTTGTTTTAAATGTTCATATTGCTATACCACAGAAGAAGAATTTGACCCTAAATGAATCGGTAGGTTTACCCCTATATTCTTTCTGGCCCATCGGCGCGCATCTCAATATATGTACGTGACCTTCATAAATCAAGCTGCAGGGAATTTTGACGAGAAAAATGGTGAGGGATTTATTGATTGTCGAAGACGCGTCGACCCAGGACCAGAGGTAAGTGTGTGGTGTGTGTTGTTGATAGATTATAGCCACACGATAGAGGCTTCAAGGAAAACACTTACTACCGTTTGCTATGTGATGGTAGCAAATTATGGAATACATGTTATAGATGATTCCAAAAGCTCTTGTTTCTGGTCGCTGCACTGTCTTGTCCACGGGAAAGGCTCCAAGGAAAAACTTACTCCCGTTTGCTGTGTGATGGTAATCGATTATAGATACATATTATTAATGACGGAACAGACACCTTTTCTCTTTGTTATTGATAAATCATAAACACACTGTTGAACTTTACCCAAAATACCTATATAATCCCGTTTACCGTGTGCTCTTGATACATTATATTCATACGGTATAAACTTTAACCAAAACATTCTTCTTACCCATATATTACCTTTCCATTTAATTAATAAATCTTTCTAAACAAGTATTTTACACATTTTTGTTGCAAAGTGTTGTAATCCCTACCAGTAGAGCCTCTACACTATGTAATCCCTCCAGCACGTTCTCGATACCATTTAATCCTTCCAACACCTTCTCCACAACATGTAATCCCTGCCATCACCTCTTCTACGCCATGTAATCCTTAACAGCGCCTCCTCCACACCATGTAATCCCTACCAGTGCCTCCTCTACACCATATAATCCCTACCAGTGCCTTCTCCACACCATGTAATCCCCATTAACACCTCTTGATACTAAGAAATCCTCTGAAAATCCCATAAACCAAATTGTAGAATCAAAAGTGATAATTTTGATTTTGTATTTATGTGTGCATGAATGAGAATAAGAAAAGAATAAAAAAGGTGAAAACAAAATAGCAAAAATATAATATATTTATTTGTATAGATAACTTATATAGATATACATATATGACGCAAACGTAACTTGAGATAATAAACTTGTTTTAAGATTATTTAGGGTTTTAATTACTCCTCATTTCTATTACGAGCTCTATATGAGTTCTCTTCCGTGGTTTTGTAAGTCAATCTTCTTCCTTGTCCTTAATCTTACCTGTCTTAGCAGTTATCATATTTCTTTTAATATTACGGACAACTTTAGAGACAGTGAGCCAGACGGTCTGTTCAGACTGGCCAATGAGGCATGTAAAAAAGAAAATGTAGACAGGGGCCTTGGCTTTTTCAATGATGTACTTAAAAACATACAAGTCAAAATCATGAACTCTGATCTGGAAGAACTGAGAAATGCAGAGAGACCTGGTAGTTGTAGCATCAGTAAATATGAAAAATTTTGTTACAGGTACCGGTATGGCCAGCACAAAGACAGAACCAGACAATAATAATAGATATTATTATTATTGTTATTATTATTATTATTATATTATTATTATTATTATTATTATTATTATTATTATTATTATTATTATTATTATTATTATTATTATTATTATTATTATTATTATTATTATTATTATTATTATTTATTATTATATTTTTGCCCCCCAGGCCCTGATGTGGGTCATTACCTGTGCCCAGGTGGGCTAATGCCCGTAAAAAACATCTGACAAGTTAGTGGCGCTGTACCCATACCGGAACATTCAGCATGTAAACTTTGTGAGAAACCTTGAAAGCATACACTTGAACATTATATTATTGAATGTTACACTGTCAAAGACTTCAGGCCACCTGGCTTATTGTATCATGAACTGTGTAATTACTACACTGAATCAGGAGTGCTTGAGGATATCCTTGCAGTCTATCCTAAATTTGCTACCCCACACTGAGTAGTCCTCAAATAGAATATGACTTACATTGTATATGAACCACTGCCCTGCGTGGCAGTGAACAGTGATAGCACCCTCATGGATATGACCATTGCTATTAATGAATATGACCAATACTATTATCTTCTTAGTGTATGAACCTCTGTCCTGCGTGGCAGTGAGAAGTGATACCACCCTCAGTGTCAAGACCTGGCTGAATTACTCAGAATAGGCAAACTGTACTACAAGCTTTGTCAATAAAGTTGTGAAACTAAAAAAAAGTCCTCTCCCTCACTCCATTAAAGCCTTTCTTCCTTCCTTCCTCTTGTGAGTCCTCTTTCATCATTCTACCGAGTCCCACTTCTCACCCTCAAGTCCTCCTCCTCCTCCTCCCTCCTCCTCCTCCTTCACCTCTCCTCCTCCTCCATCTCCTCTTCATCCTCTTTATTCTCAACCTAGCAAAACTCTCCCACCATCACTTTTCATTATCTCTCTCTCTCTCTCTCTCTCTCTCTCTCTCTCTCTTGATTCTATCTTTGTGTTGTTTTTCTTCTCCTGTCTCCTAGTGATTATTTCTTCCTCTCCTCCCTTGTCTCCAAGTTATCATCTCCTTCTTTCCCCTGTCTCCTAGTGATCATTTCCTCCTTCCCTGTCTCCTAGTTATCATCTCCTCCTTCCCTGTCTCCGAGTGATCATCTCCTCCTTCCTTCTCCTAGTGCTCATCTCCTCCTTCCATCTCCTAGTTATCATCTCCTTCCCTGTCTCCTATAGTGATCATCCTCTACGGTTTCTTAAAGAGATCTCCTCTCCGTCAGACCCTGTACGTGTGTGTGTCTGTCTGTGTGTATTGACTATCGCATTCCATGTCCCCCAGGAGCACAGTAGTCCAATACAGTGTGATTTTTACTCATTCCCATGCACAGTCGGAGGAAAACGAGCTGGGGACTGAGAGTGGTCGCCGTACGAGCGCTCCGTCCGTATTTATGCCGCGGATTTGCATAAAAACTGATTTGGGATGGGCACTCTCCAGATATTTGTCGGAATCAGAGCAACTTATTGGCCTATTCGGCTCCTTGGCAACACACTTCACGTTCAGATTAAAGAGCTCGCAGAGAAGGCGTCGTTTATATTTTTTTTCTTACTTCCCTTGTTGTTGTTTTGTTCGTGTGTGTGTGTTTGTGTGTTTTTTTTCGTTCTCTTTATGCTCATTTTTCTTTAATTCTTTCTTTGTCTCCACTGGGTTATTATTCTGTTTATCTCTCTATCTGTTTTCTTTTCCTTCTGCCATTTGACTCTGGCTGGGATGACTTCGTTACTTCTCCCTTTTCCCTCTTCTTTTTTTTTTCGACATCGTTTTGCTTTTTCTTAACCTTTTCCTCTTTTTCCCTCTTCTATTCTAAGATGATGATTTATATACATGTCCAGTATAAAGAGTAAACGTACAGAATCATACCATGTATATATATATGCAGTATACAGTATATAAAACATATATAAACATATTTATATATACAAGTATACATCTGTTTTTTCTCTTTTCTTTACTCTTTCGCTAAGAGATGTGAGAGATAGCGAGGGCAGAGTGTTGTGGAGATAGCGGCGGCCTCCCATTAGGCATCTCCCTAGTGCAGCGCCCGGAGAAGCATCAAGGAGGCAGATGAGTCGTAAACCAGAATTTTCAGAAAGTATTCCTCGACCCTGAACAATGGCCACTTTTCATCCGATGGAAATACATTATACCCTCCTTTTGTCTTGTGGCTGTACGAGAAGTTCATTTGGTTCCTGATGGACATGGGAGTCGGTCTGTGGACTGGGTGAGTGGGAGAGGGTGGGGGGGGGAGCATGAGTGGAAGAGTGAGTGAGAGGGTAGGAGGGTAAGGGGGAGGATGAGTGGAGAGAGAGAGAGAGAGAGAGAGAGAGAGAGAGAGAGAGAGAGAGAGAGAGAGAGAGAGAGAGAGAGAGAGAGAGATTATAAAACTGATGGTCAATATTTCTGAAAAAAAAAATGTACTCCCCACTATCATCTTTCAATTCATTGCACCTGATATACTAATTAAGCATCTGTTGATTTTTCTCACGCACCTCTCGGACTGGCCTGCACATAGTCTTCCAACATTGACCTTCTCACCTACTTCCAACACTATTCTGCTAACCTGCTTCCAACACACCCCTACCCTCCTGCTTCCAACACTCACCTACCTCCCTGCTTCCAACACATTTTGGCACTGGGGGTCATACCATGGATTTTTTTTCAAATTTCATACAAAGGCACTGCAGTACTTTACATGCTGATTAATTATCTGTGTTCACAATTAAAAAAAATTGAGTAATTATTGTTAATTGATAAGATTTTAAATAATTGAAGATACTGTATTTAGAATAATTAAAAAATCAACTAGGCTGTGCCCATAAGTTTTAAATCACCTTTATATAAATTTTCTTAAAAATGTTGACTACAGGTACAGGTATTTACTATATAAAACAATGAAACCGACACTAATGAAGCAGATGGCAGTACTTAAACATACTCGATTGTGCATAAAACTATATCATATACTGTACTCTACTGTACTCTTCAATACTGTTCTGCACTGTACTGTGCTGCACTGTACTGTACTGCACTGCACTGTACTGTACTGTAGTGTACTGTACTGTATTGCACTGTACTGCACTGCACTGTACTGCACTGCACTGCAATGCACTGTACTGTACTGTACTGTACTGTACTGTACTGTACTGTACTGTACTGTACTGTATAAAGACAGCAGATTATACAACTAGTGAACTTGACTCAGAAAGGTTACCAAGTTAACAGGAGAGAAGGGAGGTGTGGTGTGGGTAAATAAAAATGAGGTGTGGACTGTTGGTAAGCTAGCTTGATAAGAGTCGATGGGGTCATTTTCAACAACATGCTCTTTGTAGTGTTGTCAATGCCTTTGATATGTCGCACTTAAATCTTACTTGTGAAATGTTACCAAGGACAGTATGCAAGTCGATGGCCTTGAGCACGTGGTTCCTGGAGGAGGCAAGAGCACTGACTTCCAAGAGTGTTTCCAGGTCTTTGATATAATTGCGTTCCGTCTCCACCAACTCTGCCACCCTCTCCCTCCGCCGGTGGTGTTGTGGCAGCTGTTGTTCCCAGTCTTCCTGTGTCAATTGTTGTTCTCGTTGTCGCTGCCCATTTGAAAAAAAATAATAATAAACACTTAATATCTTCAAAATACTGTTACAGCAAAAACATTTTTTTTTAGTTAACCAGAACAGATGTAGATATATTTCCCCCAACAGAACACATGAGTATTTACCTCATCATTGAGTGTCTCTGGCTCATAGTATTCGTCACAGTCATCCCAGAAATTGGAATCATCGTCAAAATCCTCAAAGTCGTCGTCAGCTGGACCTGCCTCGGCCATGCTGATACTAGACGCCTCTATAGGAAAACCAGACGGGTGTCAATAAATCAAAGAAACAACCTCAAATCTGAGGGCTGGCGACCACAGCCCTCCACTCTAAATGTCTTAGGGATGTTTTGAAAAAAATCTAATGATATATTGCATCTCTCTGGGGATTCGGTTTTTAATTTTACTCATCCATCCCAGTCTCTGTTTTCTCCTGGCTCTGTTCACTTTTGCCCATTAACATTTCTGCAATTGTTACCTTGCAGTTTTTGCCAGTCTTAGTGCTTTATCATTACTTTCCTGGCAGTGTAACTTATTCTTAACATTAAGATCACTCAAAGATAATGTCAATTGGAGATTCTTTTTCTTGTTGTCGTACTGAATTTGACTCATTATATGTATGACCCTCACAGTGTCCTTGAATAGTTTTGAGGCTATTTACAATGAATAGTAGGACATATTTTATGGCCGATATGGGTATAGTACTTCATACAATTGGCATATGATTCAGTCACTCAAACTTTTTGTAATCTGTTTATTTCATGTGATCATGTTACATTTACAAAACTCCTTTGATAACTTATCATTTAGTTACTCTATGTCTTGAAACATTAAGAAATAAATACAGCTGTAGTAGTCTCAAAATACTGTATAAAACAAATAGTATGCTCTTTAGCCAAAATATTTGTTCTCGTTAACAAATCAACTAATCTGAATAATTTGTGATACAAATGGTTATGAATATTGCAAATGTGGCTGTAATATAAGGGGGTGATTGCCACACCCCCCCCCCCTATATATGCCACTGAAGAATATATTGGCTGTAAATCGATCCATGGAAGCAGCTGTCTGGTCATACATGTAGTTCCAAGTGGTTGAGGTGACTGTAGGGATTAGTTCTGTCGCCTTAGAGGACCATGACATTCAGTCTGCTTAAGCTCAGACTCTTAAAACCCAGTGCAACACCAGCTCCCTAAAAAATAGATAAGTCAGGGAAGATGTAACGCTCAAACCACGAATTACGTACTGAGTAAAAAGACGACCACAATGCAATTTGAACTTGTCTAATAACCGAAAAGTGAAATTTAATATCATGAGTTTTTCCACAACAGCAACCAAGTTTTAGCTTCAGTCAGGATAGTATAGCTAAGGTTAGGGCAACGTCTAAAGAACAGCTCTACTTACAGAATAACACATTAACACCAAAATCGCACTTTGGAAACCCATAGTTGGCGAGTAATTAGCATTGAAACATGTCAATAATTTTCCAAGCGTCCTTACAACCACTAATATTCGATATCAAGGGCCCCGGGGGAACCACCGTCCCTGGGAGGGCCCTTGCGGGTGCTGCCGCCCCTGGTAGGACCACTGGGCGCGCCACCGCCTCAGGGAGGGTTTATTGGAGGTGCCACAGCCCCTGGAAGGGCCCCTGGGGGCGCTACCGCCCCTGGCAAGGCCCCTGGGGTCGCCACTGCCCCTTGCAGGGCCTCTTGGGCGGGCCCCCTAGGAGTGATGCCACCCCTGTGAGGGCCCATTGGGGCGCCACCGCATCTGGGAGGGCCCCTGGGGGTGCAACCGCCCCTGGGAGGGTCCCTGAGGTTGCCACCACCCCTAAGGAAGACCCCTGAGGGCGCTGCCGCCCTTGGGAGGGCCAATGGGGGCGCCACCGCCAGTGGAAGACCCCTGGCAGGTTCCCTTGAGGCTTCACTGCCCCAGGGAGAGCTAATGGGGGCACTGCTGACTCTGGGAGGGCCACCTGGGGGTGCCACAGCCCCTGGTAGGACCCCTTGGGGTTTCACTGCCCCAGGAAGGGTCCATGGGAACGCTGCTGACCCTGGGGGGACATCGGTGGACGCCGCTGACCCAGGAAGGGCCCCTGAGGGAGAAGCCGCCATTGGGAGGGTCCCTGGGGGTGCCACCACCTCTGGGAGGTCCCTTGCGGTGCTGCTTCTAAAGAGAGCCACTGGGATTTCCCCTGGGGGGGCTGTTGCCTCTAAGAAGGGCCACTGGGGGCACCGCTGCCCTTAAGAAGAGCCCCTGAAGGAACCTTCGCCTCTAGGGGAACCGTCGCCCCTGGGAGGTCCTCTTGGGGCAGTTGTTTTTGCACTATTTAGAACTCTGAGAGATATGACGTTAAATAAGTACTGCCCATCACATTTCCATTATCATCGCATCCTGAACAATGAAAAGGAGACTAAATATTCAACAGGAAAACATAAGTTGGGGTGTTGTGCTGACTGACTGCTCTGTTCTCCTATTGGCTGTAATTTGGTGGATTTACATTTTAGTCCACCAATCACAGTTAAGTAAGGGCTTGCTGGTCGCATGCATTATGAACGATACCAATACCAAGCCTCTGGAGCAACGCCACTCCTGGGAGGGCCTCTGGGGGCGCTGCCACACCTGGGATGGCCCCTAGAAGTGCCGCCGCCATTGTGTGTGCCCCTAGGGGTGCAGCCGCCCCTGGCAGTGCCCCCTGTGGTTGCCACCATCACTTTGAGGGTCACTGAGGGCGCTACAGACCCTGGCGGCGCCCCATGAGTCGGTGACTTCCCTGGGAGGGCCCCTAGGGTCGCCGCCGACCCTATGTGTGTCCATCTGGGCATAGTTGCACCTGGGAGGACCCCTGAGGCTTCCGCCTTAGGAAGGCTCCTGGAAGTGCCACCGACCCTGGGGAAACCCCTGGGGGCGCCACCGTCCCTGCTAGACCCCTTGAGGGAATAACCGCCCCTGTAAGGGTTCCTGGGAGCGCCATCGCCCCTGGGAGGGCAACTGTGGATGCCACCGCATTTGGGGTGACTGCTACCCTTAAGGAGGGCCCCTGGGGGCGCCGACGCTCTAGTTAGGACACCTATGGGCACCGCTGCTCCTGGGAGGGCTCCTGGTCGCACTGTCACCCCTGGGAGATCCCATTGGAGCAGTTGTTTTTGCACTATTTAGAACTCTGAGAGATATGACGTTAAATAAGTACAACGCCCATCACATTTCCAGTATCATCACATCCTGAACAATAAAAAGGAGACTAAATATCCAACAGGAAAACATAAGTTGGGATGTTGTGCTGACTGACTACTCTGTTCTCCTATTGACTGTAATTTGGTGGATTTACATTTTAGTCCACCAATCACAGTTAAGTAAGGGATTGCTCGACACATGCAATATGTGCGATACCACGATCAAGATCCTGGGGGCAATGCCACTCTGTAATGCCCCTGGTGATGCTAAGCAACCTGGGAGTGCCCCTGTGGTTGCCACCATCACTGAGAGGGTCACTGGGGCACTACAAACCATGGCAGCGCCCCATGGGTCAAGGACTTGCCTGAGGGCCCCTAGGTCGCCGCCGACCCTATGTGTGTCCCTCTGGGCGTAGTTGCACTTGAAGGTCCCCTGAGGCTTCTGCCGCCAGAGAGGGTCCCTAAAAGGACACCCTTAGGAAGGCTCCTGGAAGTGCCACCGACCCTGGGGAAACCCCTGGGGGCGCCACCGTCCCTGCTAGACCCCTTGAGGGAATAACCGCCCCTGTAAGGGTTCCTGGGAGCGCCATCGCCCCTGGGAGGGCAACTGTGGATGCCACCGCATTTGGGGTGACTGCTACCCTTAAGGAGGGCCCCTGGGGGCGCCGACGCTCTAGTTAGGACACCTATGGGCACCGCTGCTCCTGGGAGGGCTCCTGGTCGCACTGTCACCCCTGGGAGATCCCATTGGAGCAGTTGTTTTTGCACTATTTAGAACTCTGAGAGATATGACGTTAAATACGTACAACGCCCATCACATTTCCAGTATCATCACCTCCTAAACAATAAAAAGGAGACTAAATATCCAACAGGAAAACATAAGCTGGGGTGTTGTGCTGACTGACTGCTCTGTTCTCCTATTGACTGTAATTTGGTGGATTTACATTTTAGTCCACCAATCACAGTTAAGTAAGGGATTGCTCGACACATGCAATATGTGCGATACCACGATCAAGCCCCAGGGGCACCGCCACCTCTGGGAGGGCCTCCTGGAACTCTCCCAGAGATGCCGGTGCCCTGGGAGGGACTCTAGGAGTGCCGCCACTGTTGTTAGGGCCCTTAGTGGCGCCACTGCCCCTGGTAGTACCCCTGGGGTTGCCACCAACCCTGGGAGGGTCACTGGGGGCGACTTAGCCCTGGCAGCGCCCCATAGGGCGGTACCTGGACTGGGAGGGCCCCTAGGGTCACCGCCGACCATATGAGGGTCCCTTATGGCATAGTCGCACCAGGGAGGTTCCCTAAGGCTGCCGCCGCCACAGACAGGGTCCCTGGGGGCACCGACACCCTTAGGAAGGCCCCTGGAAGTGCCACCGACCCTGGGGAAACCCCGGACCGCCACCGCCCCTGCTAGACCTTGGGAATCACCGCCCCTGTGGGCTCTTGGGACCGCCATCGCGCCTCTGGAAACAACTGTGGATGCCACACGCGTTTGGGATCACTGCTACCTTTAAGGAGGGCCCCTGGGGGCGCCAACGCTCTAGTTAGGACACCTGTGGGCACCGCTGCTCCTGGGAGGGCTCCTGGTCGCACTATCACCCCTGGGAGATCCCATTGGAGCAGTTGTTTTTGCACTATTTAGAACTCTGAGAGATATGACGTTAAATAAGTACAACGCCCATCACATTTCCAGTATCATCACCTCCGGAACAATAAAAAGGAGACTAAATATCCAACAGGAAAACATAAGTTGGGGTGTTGTGCTGACTGACTGCTCTGTTCTCCTATTGGGTGCAATTTGTTGGATTTACATTTTAGTCCACCAATCACAGTTAAGTAAGGGCTTGCTGGACGCATGCATTATGTACGATACCAAAACTAAGCTCCTGGGGCAACGCCACCCCTGGGAGGCCTCTGGATGCGCTGCCACACCTGGGAGGGCCCCTAGAAGTCCCGCGGCCATTGTGTGGGCCCCTGTAGTTGCCACCATCACTGAAAGGGTCACTGGGGGCGCTACAGCCCCTGGCAGGGCCCCATGGGTCGGTGACTTTCCTGGGAGGGCCCCTGGGTTCGCCGCTGACCCTATGAGCGTCCCTCTGTAAGTATTGGCATATGGGAGGGCCCCTGAGGCTTTCGCCGCCACAGAGAGGGTCCCTGGGGGTGCCGACACTCTTACGAAGGCCCCTGGAAGTGCCACCATCCCTGGGAAAATCCTTGGAGGCACCACCGCCCCTGCTAGTTCCCCTGGGGGAATCACCGTCCCTGTAAGGGATCCAGGGAACGCCATCGCCCCTGGGAGGGCAACTATGGGTGCCATCGCTCTTGGGGTCACTGCCATCCTTAGGGAGGGTCCATGGTTGGGCCCGTGGGGGCGCCGACGCTCTTCTTAGGACCCCTGTGGGCACCTCTGCTCCTGGGAGGGCTCCTAGGGCACTGTCGCCCCTGGGAGATTCCCTTGGGGCAGTTGATTTTGCACTATTTAGAACTCTGAGAGATATGACGTTTAATAAGTACAACGCCCATCAGATTTCCAGTATCATCGCATCCTGAACAATGAAAAGGAGACTAAATATCCAACAGGAAAACATAAGTTAGGGTGTTGTGCTGACTGACTGCTCTGTCCTCCTATTGGCTGTTATTTGGTGTATTTACATTTTGCTCCACCAATCACTGCTAAGTAAGGGATTGCTGGATACATGCATTATGTATGATACCAAAATCAAGATCCTGGGGCCACTGGCAGTGCCCCTGGGGTTGCCACCATCCTTGGGAAGGTCACTGGGGTGCCATAGCCCCTGGTAGGGCCCCATGGGGCGAGACCTTACCTAGGAGTGCCCCGAGGGTCCCCGCCGACCCTATGGGTGTCCCTTGGGCGTAGTTGCATCAGGGAGGTCCCCTTAGGCCGTCGCCGCTACAGAGAGGGTCTCTGGGGGCACCGACACCCTTAGAAAGGCCCCTGGAAGTGCCACCGCCCCTGCTAGGCCCCAAGGGGGAATCACCGTCCTTGTAAGGGATCCTGGGGATGCCATCGCCCCTGGGAGGACAACTGTGGATGCCACCGCCTTTGGGGTCACTGCCACCGTTAAGGAGGGCCTTTGGTAGGTCTCCTGAGGGCGCTGACGCTCTTCTTAGGACCCCTGTGGGCACCGCTGCTTCTGGGAGGGCTGCTAGGGGCACTGTCACCCCTGGGAGATCCCCTTCGGCCAGCTGTTTTTGCACTATTTAGAACTCTCAGAGATATGACGTTAAATAAGTACTGCCCATCAGATTTCCAGTATCATCACATCCTGAACAATGAAAAGGAGACTAAATCTTCAACAGGAAAACATAAGTTGGGGTGTTGTGCCGACTGACTGCTCTGTTCTCCTACTGGCTGTAATTTGGTGGATTTGCATTTTATACCACCAATCACAGTTAAGTAAGGGATTGCTTGATGCATGCAATATGTACGATACATGATCAAGATCCTGGGGGGCAATGCCACCTCTGGGTGGGCCCCTGGTACTGCCAAACCTGGGAGTGCCCTGTGGTTTGCCACCATCACTGAGAGAGGGTCTGCTGGGGGGCGCGCTACAGACCATGGCAGCGCCCCATGGATCAACGACTTGCCTGGGAGGGCTAGGGTCGCCACTTGAGCTGCTCATGTCCTCTGGGTGGCAGTTGCACCTAGAGTCCCCTGAGGCTTCCGCCTGCGCCACAGAGAGGGTCCTGGGAGGGTGCCGACACCCTTCAGGAATGCCCCCTGGAGGTGCAGCACACCAATTTAAACCCTGGGGGCAGCACGCCCCTCCTGGGCCGCCAGGGGAATCCTTCACCCCTGTAAGGGCTCCTGGGAGCGCCATCACCCCTGGGAGGGCAACTGTGGATGCCACCGCATTTGGGGTGACTGCTACCGTTCAGGAGGGCCCCTGGGGGCGCCGACGCTCTAGTTAGGACACCTGTGGGCACCGCTGCTCCTGGAAGGGCTCCTGGTCGCACTGAAACGCCTGGGAAATCCTATTGGGGAAGTTGTTTTTGCACTACTTAGAACTCTGAGAGATATGACGTTAAATACGTACAACGCCCATCACATTTCCAGTATCATCACCTCCTAAACAATAAAAAGGAGACTAAATATCCAACAGGAAAACATAAGCTGGGGTGTTGTGCTGACTGACTGCTCTGTTCTCCTATTGACTGTAATTTGGTGGATTTACATTTTAGTCCACCAATCACAGTTAAGTAAGGGATTGCTCGACACATGCAATATGTGCGATACCACGATCAAGCCCCAGGGGCACCGCCACCTCTGGGAGGGCCTCCTGGAACTCTCCCAGAGATGCCGGTGCCCTGGGAGGGACTCTAGGAGTGCCGCCACTGTTGTTAGGGCCCTTAGTGGCGCCACTGCCCCTGGTAGTACCCCTGGGGTTGCCACCAACCCTGGGAGGGTCACTGGGGGCGACTTAGCCCTGGCAGCGCCCCATAGGGCGGTACCTGGACTGGGAGGGCCCCTAGGGTCACCGCCGACCATATGAGGGTCCCTTATGGCATAGTCGCACCAGGGAGGTTCCCTAAGGCTGCCGCCGCCACAGACAGGGTCCCTGGGGGCACCGACACCCTTAGGAAGGCCCCTGGAAGTGCCACCGACCCTGGGGAAGTCCCTGGGGGTGCCTCCGCCCCTTGCTATGCTAGGCCCTCCTGGGGAATCACTGCCCCTGTAAGGGCTCCTTGGAATGCCATTGCCCCTGGAAAGGCAACTGTGGATGCCACCGCCCTTGGGGTCACTGCCACCCTTAAGGAATGCTGACGCTCATCTTAGGACCCCTGTGGGCACCGCTGCTTCTGTGAGGGCTCCTGGGGGCACTGTCACCTCTGGGAGATCCCCTTCGGCCAATTGTTTTTGCACTATTTAGAACTCTGAGAGATATGACGTTTAATAAGTACAACGCCCATCACATTTCCAGTATCATCGCATCCTGAACAATGAAAAGGAGACTAAATATCCAACAGGAAAACATAAGTTGGGGTGTTGTGCTGACTGACTGGCCTGTTCTCCTATTGGCTGTAATTTGGTGGATTTACAGTTTACTCCACCAATCACAGTTAAGCAAGGTATTTCTGGATGCATGCATTATGTATGATACCAAAATCAAGATCCTGGGGCCACTGCCACCCCTGGGAGAGCCTCTGGAGACGCTGCCAAATCTGGGAGTGCCCCTGGGGTTGCCACGATCCCTGGGAAGGTCACTGGGGTCGCGACAGTCTTTGGCAGGGCCCCATGGGGCGGGACCTCGCCTGGGAAGGCCCCTAGTGTCGCCGCCGACCATATGAGGGTCCCTTGGGGCGTAGTCGCACCAGGGAGGTCCCCTAAGGCTGCCGCCGCCACAGAGAGGGTCGCTGGGGGCACCGACACCCAGGGGAAGGCCCCTGGAAGTGCCACCGACCCTGGGGAAACCTCTGGGGCCGCCACCGCTCCTACTACACCCCTTCGGGGAATGAGCGCCCCTGTAAGGGCTCCTGGGAACGCCATCGCTCCTGGGAGGGTAACTGTGGGTGCCACCGTGCTTGGGGTGACTGCCACCCTTAAGGCGGGCTCCTGGGGGCACCGACGCTCTAGTTAGGACACCTGTGGGCACCGCTGCACCTGGAAGGGCTCCTGGTCGCACTGTAACCCCTGGGAAATCCCATTGGGGAAGTTGTTTTTGCACTATTTAGAACTCTGTAGAGATATGACGTTAAATAAGTACAACGCCCATCACATTTCCAGTATCATCACATCCTGAACAATAAAAAGGAGACTAAATATCCAACAGGAAAACATAAGTTGGGGTGTTGTGCTGACTGACTGCTCTGTTCTCCTATTGGCTGTAATTTGGTGGATTTACAGTTTACTCCACCAATCACAGTTAAGTAAGGGATTGCTGGATGCATGCATTATGTATGATACCAAAATCAAGATCCTGGGGGCACTGCCACCTCTGGGTGGGCCCCTGAAGATGCTGCCAAACCTGGGAGTGCCCCTGTGGTTGCCACCATCACTGAGAGGGTCACTGGGGGCGCTACAGACCATGGCAGCGCCCCATGGGTCGGCGACTTGCCTGGGAGGGCCCCTAGGGTCGCCGCCGACCCTATGTGTGTCCCTCTGGGCGTATTTGCACCTGGAAGGTCCCCTGAGTCTTCCGCCGCCACAGAGAGGGTCCCTGGGGGTGCCGACACCCTTAGGAAGGCCCCTGGAAGTGCCACCGACCCTGGGGAAACCCCTGGGGGCGCCACCGCCCCTGCTAGACCCCTTGGGGGAATCACCGCCCCTGTAAGGGCTCCTGGGAGCGCCATCACCCCTGGGAGGGCAACTGTGGATGCCACCGCATTTGGGGTGACTGCTACCGTTCAGGAGGGCCCCTGGGGGCGCCGACGCTCTAGTTAGGACACCTGTGGGCACCGCTGCTCCTGGAAGGGCTCCTGGTCGCACTGAAACGCCTGGGAAATCCTATTGGGGAAGTTGTTTTTGCACTACTTAGAACTCTGAGAGATATGACGTTAAATACGTACAACGCCCATCACATTTCCAGTATCATCACCTCCTAAACAATAAAAAGGAGACTAAATATCCAACAGGAAAACATAAGCTGGGGTGTTGTGCTGACTGACTGCTCTGTTCTCCTATTGACTGTAATTTGGTGGATTTACATTTTAGTCCACCAATCACAGTTAAGTAAGGGATTGCTCGACACATGCAATATGTGCGATACCACGATCAAGCCCCAGGGGCACCGCCACCTCTGGGAGGGCCTCCTGGAACTCTCCCAGAGATGCCGGTGCCCTGGGAGGGACTCTAGGAGTGCCGCCACTGTTGTTAGGGCCCTTAGTGGCGCCACTGCCCCTGGTAGTACCCCTGGGGTTGCCACCAACCCTGGGAGGGTCACTGGGGGCGACTTAGCCCTGGCAGCGCCCCATAGGGCGGTACCTGGACTGGGAGGGCCCCTAGGGTCACCGCCGACCATATGAGGGTCCCTTATGGCATAGTCGCACCAGGGAGGTTCCCTGAGGCTGCCGCCGCCACAGACAGGGTCCCTGGGGGCACCGACACCCTTAGGAAGGCCCCTGGAAGTGCCACCGACCCTGGGGAAGTCCCTGGGGGTGCCTCCGCCCCTTGCTATGCTAGGCCCTCCTGGGGAATCACTGCCCCTGTAAGGGCTCCTTGGAATGCCATTGCCCCTGGAAAGGCAACTGTGGATGCCACCGCCCTTGGGGTCACTGCCACCCTTAAGGAATGCTGACGCTCATCTTAGGACCCCTGTGGGCACCGCTGCTTCTGTGAGGGCTCCTGGGGGCACTGTCACCTCTGGGAGATCCCCTTCGGCCAATTGTTTTTGCACTATTTAGAACTCTGAGAGATATGACGTTTAATAAGTACAACGCCCATCAGATTTCCAGTATCATCGCATCCTGAACAATGAAAAGGAGACTAAATATCCAACAGGAAAACATAAGTTGGGGTGTTGTGCTGACTGACTGCTCTGTTCTCCTATTGGCTGTAATTTGGTGGATCTACAGTTTACTCTACCAATCACAGTTAAGTAAGGGATTGCTGGATGAATGCATTATGTATGATACCAAAATCAAGATCCTGGGGTTACTGACACCCCTGGGAGGGCCTCTGGAGATGCTGCCAAACCTGGGAGTGCTCCTGGGGTTGCCACCATCCCTGGGAAGGTCACTGGGGTCGCCACAGTCTTTGGCAGGGCCCCATGGGGCGGGACCTCGCCTGGGAAGGCCCCTAGGGTCGCCGCCGAACATATGAGGGTCCCTTGGGGCGTAGTCGCACCAGGGAGGTCCCCTGAGGCTGCCGCCGCCACACAGAGGGTCCCTGGGGGCACCGACACCGAGGGGAAGGCCCCTGGAAGTGCCACCGACCCTGGGGAAACCTCTGGGGCCGCCACCGCTCGTACTAGACCCCGTCGGGGAATCACCGCCCCTGTAAGGGCTCCTGTGAACCTCATCGCCCCTGGGAGGGCAACTGTGGGTGCCACCGTGCTTGGTGTGACTGCCACCCTTAAGGAGGGCTCCTGGGGGCAACGACGCTCTAGTTAGGACACCTGTGGGCACTGCTGCACCTGGGAGGGTTCCTGGTTACACTGTAACCCCTGGGAAATCCCATTGGGGAAGTTGTTTTTGCACTATTTAGAACTCTGTAGAGATATGACGTTAAATAAGTACAACGCCCATCACATTTCCAGTATCATCACATCCTGAACAATAAAAAGGAGACTAAATATCCAACAGGAAAACATAAGTTGGGGTGTTGTGCTCACTGACTGGCCTGTTCTCCTATTGGCTGTAATTTGGTGGATTTACAGTTTACTCCACCAATCACAGTTAAGCAAGGTATTGCTGGATGCATGCATTATGTATGATACCAAAATCAAGATCCTGGGGGCACTGCCACCCCTGGGATGATTTCTGGAGACGCTGCCAAATCTGGGAGTGCCCCTGGGGTTGCCACCATCGCTGGGAAGGTCACTGGGGTCGCCACAGTCCTTGCCAGGGCCCCATGGGGCAAGACCTCGCCTGGGAAGGCCCCTAGTGTCGCCGCCGACCATATGAGGGTCCCTTGGGGCGTAGTCGCACCAGGGAGGTCCCCTGACGCTGCCGCCGCCACAGAGAGGGTCGCTGGGGGCACTGACAACCAGGGGAAGGCCCCTGGAAGTGCCACCGACCCTGGGGAAACCTCTGGGGCCGCCACCGCTCCTACTAGACCCCTTCGGGGAATCAGCGCCCTTGTAAGGGCTCCTGGGAACGCCATCACCTCTGGGAGGGCAACTGTGGGGGCCACCGTGCTTGGGGTGACTGCCACCCTTATGGAGGGCTCCTGGGGGCACCGACGCTCTAGTTAGGACACCTGTGGGCACCGCTGCACCTGGGAGGGTTCCTGGTCGCACTATAACCCCTGGGAAATCCCATTGAGGAAGTTGTTTTTGCACTATTTAGAACTCTGTAGAGATATGACGTTAAATAAGTACAACGCCCATCACATTTCCAGTATCATCACATCCTGAACAATAAAAAGGAGACTAAATATCCAACAGGAAAACATAAGTTGGGGTGTTGTGCTGACTGACTGCTCTGTTCTCCTATTGGCTGTAATTTGGTGGATTTACAGTTTACTCTACCAATCACAGTTAAGTAAGGGATTGCTGGATGAATGCATTATGTATGATACCAAAATCAAGATTCTGGGGTTACTGACACCCCTGGGAGGGCCTCTGGAGATGCTGCCAAACCTGGGAGTGCTCCTGGGGTTGCCACCATCCCTGGGAAGGTCACTGGGGTCGCCACTGTCTTTGGCAGGGCCCCATGGGGCGGGACCTCGCCTGGAAAGGCCCCTAGGGTCGCCGCCGAACATATGAGGGTCCCTTGGGGCGTAGTCGCACCAGGGAGGTCCCCTGAGGCTGCCGCCGCCACAGAGAGGGTCGCTGGGGGCACCGACACCCAGGGGAAGGCCCCTGGAAGTGCCATCGACACTGGGGAAGCCTCTGGGGCCGCCACCGCTCGTACTAGACCCCTTCGGGGAATCACCGCCCCTGTAAGGGCTCCTGGGACCGCCATCGCCTCTGGGAGTGCAACTGTGGATGCCACTGACATTTGGGATCACAGGCTACCTTTAAGGAGGGCCCCTGGGGGCGCCAACGCTCTAGTTAGGACACCTGTGGGCACCGCTGCTCCTGGGAGGGCTCCTGGTCGCACTATCACCCCTGGGAGATCCCATTGGAGCAGTTGTTTTTGCACTATTTAGAACTCTGAGAGATATGACGTTAAATAAGTACAACGCCCATCACATTTCCAGTATCATCACCTCCGGAACAATAAAAAGGAGACTAAATATCCAACAGGAAAACATAAGTTGGGGTGTTGTGCTGACTGACTGCTCTGTTCTCCTATTGGGTGCAATTTGTTGGATTTACATTTTAGTCCACCAATCACAGTTAAGTAAGGGCTTGCTGGACGCATGCATTATGTACGATACCAAAACTAAGCTCCTGGGGCAACGCCACCCCTGGGAGGCCTCTGGATGCGCTGCCACACCTGGGAGGGCCCCTAGAAGTCCCGCGGCCATTGTGTGGGCCCCTGTAGTTGCCACCATCACTGAAAGGGTCACTGGGGGCGCTACAGCCCCTGGCAGGGCCCCATGGGTCGGTGACTTTCCTGGGAGGGCCCCTGGGTTCGCCGCTGACCCTATGAGCGTCCCTCTGTAAGTATTGGCATATGGGAGGGCCCCTGAGGCTTTCGCCGCCACAGAGAGGGTCCCTGGGGGTGCCGACACTCTTACGAAGGCCCCTGGAAGTGCCACCATCCCTGGGAAAATCCTTGGAGGCACCACCGCCCCTGCTAGTTCCCCTGGGGGAATCACCGTCCCTGTAAGGGATCCAGGGAACGCCATCGCCCCTGGGAGGGCAACTATGGGTGCCATCGCTCTTGGGGTCACTGCCATCCTTAGGGAGGGTCCATGGTTGGGCCCGTGGGGGCGCCGACGCTCTTCTTAGGACCCCTGTGGGCACCTCTGCTCCTGGGAGGGCTCCTAGGGCACTGTCGCCCCTGGGAGATTCCCTTGGGGCAGTTGATTTTGCACTATTTAGAACTCTGAGAGATATGACGTTTAATAAGTACAACGCCCATCAGATTTCCAGTATCATCGCATCCTGAACAATGAAAAGGAGACTAAATATCCAACAGGAAAACATAAGTTAGGGTGTTGTGCTGACTGACTGCTCTGTCCTCCTATTGGCTGTTATTTGGTGTATTTACATTTTGCTCCACCAATCACTGCTAAGTAAGGGATTGCTGGATACATGCATTATGTATGATACCAAAATCAAGATCCTGGGGCCACTGGCAGTGCCCCTGGGGTTGCCACCATCCTTGGGAAGGTCACTGGGGTGCCATAGCCCCTGGTAGGGCCCCATGGGGCGAGACCTTACCTAGGAGTGCCCCGAGGGTCCCCGCCGACCCTATGGGTGTCCCTTGGGCGTAGTTGCATCAGGGAGGTCCCCTTAGGCCGTCGCCGCTACAGAGAGGGTCTCTGGGGGCACCGACACCCTTAGAAAGGCCCCTGGAAGTGCCACCGCCCCTGCTAGGCCCCAAGGGGGAATCACCGTCCTTGTAAGGGATCCTGGGGATGCCATCGCCCCTGGGAGGACAACTGTGGATGCCACCGCCTTTGGGGTCACTGCCACCGTTAAGGAGGGCCTTTGGTAGGTCTCCTGAGGGCGCTGACGCTCTTCTTAGGACCCCTGTGGGCACCGCTGCTTCTGGTAGGGCTGCTAGGGGCACTGTCACCCCTGGGAGATCCCCTTCGGCCAGTTGTTTTTGCACTATTTAGAACTCTCAGAGATATGACGTTAAATAAGTACTGCCCATCAGATTTCCAGTATCATCACATCCTGAACAATGAAAAGGAGACTAAATCTTCAACAGGAAAACATAAGTTGGGGTGTTGTGCCGACTGACTGCTCTGTTCTCCTACTGGCTGTAATTTGGTGGATTTGCATTTTATACCACCAATCACAGTTAAGTAAGGGATTGCTTGATGCATGCAATATGTACGATACATGATCAAGCCCCTGGGGGCACCGCCACCCCTGGGAGGGCCCCTGGTGATGCTTTAAACCTGGAGTGCCCCCTGTGGTTGCCACCATCACTTTGAGGGTCACTGAGGGCGCTACAGACCCTGGCGGCGCCCCATGATTCGGTGACTTCCCTGGGAGGGCCCCTAGGGTCGCCGCCGACCCTATGTGTGTCCATCTGGGCATAGTTGCACCTGGGAGGTCCCCTGAGGCTTCCGCCTTAGGAAGGCTCCTGGAAGTGCCACCGACCCTGGGGAAACCCCTGGGGGCGCCACCGTCCCTGCTAGACCCCTTGGGGGAATAACCGCCCCTGTAAGGGTTCCTGGGAGCGCCATCGCCCCTGGGAGGGCAACTGTGGATGCCACCGCATTTGGGGTGACTGCTACCCTTAAGGAGGGCCCCTGGGGGCGCCGACGCTCTAGTTAGGACACCTATGGGCACCGCTGCTCCTGGGAGGGCTCCTGGTCGCACTGTCACCCCTGGGAGATCCCATTGGAGCAGTTGTTTTTGCACTATTTAGAACTCTGAGAGATATGACGTTAAATAAGTACAACGCCCATCACATTTCCAGTATCATCACATCCTGAACAATAAAAAGGAGACTAAATATCCAACAGGAAAACATAAGTTGGGGTGTTGTGCTGACTGACTACTCTGTTCTCCTATTGACTGTAATTTGGTGGATTTACATTTTAGTCCACCAATCACAGTTAAGTAAGGGATTGCTCGACACATGCAATATGTGCGATACCACGATCAAGCCCCAGGGGTACCGCCACCTCTGGGAAGGCCTCCTGGAACTCTCCCAGAGGTGCCGGTGCCCTGGGAGGGACTCTAGGAGTGCCGCCACTGTGGTTAGGGCCCTTAGTGGCGCCACTGCCCCTGGTAGTACCCCTGGGGTTGCCACCAACCCTGGGAGGGTCACTGGGGGCGACTTAGCCCCTGGCAGCGCCCCATAGGGCGGTACCTAGACTGGGAGGGCCCCTAGGGTCACCGCCGACCATATGAGGGTCCCTTATGGCATAGTGGCACCAGGGAGGTCCCCTGAGGCTGCCGCCGCCACAGACAGGGTCCCTGGGGGCACCGACACCCTTAGGAAGGCCTCTGGAAGTGCCACCGACCTTGGGGAAGTCCCTGGGGGCGCCTCCGCCCCTTGCTATGCTAGGCCCTCCTGGGGAATCACTGCCCCTGTAAGGGCTCCTTGGAATGCCATTGCCCCTGGAAGGGCAACTGTGGATGCCACCGCCCTTGGGGTCACTGCCACCCTTAAGGAATGCTGACGCTCATCTTAGGACCCCTGTGGGCACCGCTGCTTCTGTGAGGGCTCCTGGGGGCACTGTCACCTCTGGGAGATCCCCTTCGGCCAATTGTTTTTGCACTATTTAGAACTCTGAGAGATATGACGTTTAATAAGTACAACGCCCATCACATTTCCAGTATCATCGCATCCTGAACAATGAAAAGGAGACTAAATATCCAACAGGAAAACATAAGTTGGGGTGTTGTGCTGACTGACTGGCCTGTTCTCCTATTGGCTGTAATTTGGTGGATTTACAGTTTACTCCACCAATCACAGTTAAGCAAGGTATTGCTGGATGCATGCATTATGTATGATACCAAAATCAAGATCCTGGGGCCACTGCCACCCCTGGGAGAGCCTCTGGAGACGCTGCCAAATCTGGGAGTGCCCCTGGGGTTGCCACGATCCCTGGGAAGGTCACTGGGGTCGCGACAGTCTTTGGCAGGGCCCCATGGGGCGGGACCTCGCCTGGGAAGGCCCCTAGTGTCGCCGCCGACCATATGAGGGTCCCTTGGGGCGTAGTCGCACCAGGGAGGTCCCCTGAGGCTGCCGCCGCCACAGAGAGGGTCGCTGGTGGCACCGACACCCAGGGGAAGGCCCCTGGAAGTGCCACCGACCCTGGGGAAACCTCTGGGGCCGCCACCGCTCCTACTACACCCCTTCGGGGAATGAGCGCCCCTGTAAGGGCTCCTGGGAACGCCATCGCTCCTGGGAGGGTAACTGTGGGTGCCACCGTGCTTGGGGTGACTGCCACCCTTAAGGCGGGCTCCTGGGGGCACCGACGCTCTAGTTAGGACACCTGTGGGCACCGCTGCACCTGGAAGGGCTCCTGGTCGCACTGTAACCCCTGGGAAATCCCATTGGGGAAGTTGTTTTTGCACTATTTAGAACTCTGTAGAGATATGACGTTAAATAAGTACAACGCCCATCACATTTCCAGTATCATCACATCCTGAACAATAAAAAGGAGACTAAATATCCAACAGGAAAACATAAGTTGGGGTGTTGTGCTGACTGACTGCTCTGTTCTCCTATTGGCTGTAATTTGGTGGATTTACAGTTTACTCCACCAATCACAGTTAAGTAAGGGATTGCTGGATGCATGCATTATGTATGATACCAAAATCAAGATCCTGGGGGCACTGCCACCTCTGGGTGGGCCCCTGAAGATGCTGCCAAACCTGGGAGTGCCCCTGTGGTTGCCACCATCACTGAGAGGGTCACTGGGGGCGCTACAGACCATGGCAGCGCCCCATGGGTCGGCGACTTGCCTGGGAGGGCCCCTAGGGTCGCCGCCGACCCTATGTGTGTCCCTCTGGGCGTATTTGCACCTGGAAGGTCCCCTGAGTCTTCCGCCGCCACAGAGAGGGTCCCTGGGGGTGCCGACACCCTTAGGAAGGCCCCTGGAAGTGCCACCGACCCTGGGGAAACCCCTGGGGGCGCCACCGCCCCTGCTAAACCCCTTGGGGGAATCACCGCCCCTGTAAGGGCTCCTGGGAGCGCCATCACCCCTGGGAGGGCAACTGTGGATGCCACCGCATTTGGGGTGACTGCTACCGTTCAGGAGGGCCCCTGGGGGCGCCGACGCTCTAGTTAGGACACCTGTGGGCACCGCTGCTCCTGGAAGGGCTCCTGGTCGCACTGAAACGCCTGGGAAATCCTATTGGGGAAGTTGTTTTTGCACTACTTAGAACTCTGAGAGATATGACGTTAAATACGTACAACGCCCATCACATTTCCAGTATCATCACCTCCTAAACAATAAAAAGGAGACTAAATATCCAACAGGAAAACATAAGCTGGGGTGTTGTGCTGACTGACTGCTCTGTTCTCCTATTGACTGTAATTTGGTGGATTTACATTTTAGTCCACCAATCACAGTTAAGTAAGGGATTGCTCGACACATGCAATATGTGCGATACCACGATCAAGCCCCAGGGGCACCGCCACCTCTGGGAGGGCCTCCTGGAACTCTCCCAGAGGTGCCGGTGCCCTGGGAGCGACTCTAGGAGTGCCGCCACTGTGGTTAGGGCCCTTAGTGGCGCCACTGCCCCTGGTAGTACCCCTGGGGTTGCCACCAACCCTGGGAGGGTCACTGCGGGCGACTTAGCCCCTGGCAACGCCCCATAGGGCGGTACCTAGACTGGGAGGGCCCCTAGGGTCACCGCCGACCATATGAGGGTCCCTTATGGCATAGTGGCACCAGGGAGGTCCCCTGAGGCTGCCGCCGCCACAGACAGGGTCCCTGGGGGCACCGACACTTGCCAAGGAAGGCCCTGGAGGTACCACCGACCTGGGGGAAACCCCTGGGGAACGCCACCGCCTATAGACCTTGGGGGCTCACACTGCCCTGTGATCCTGGAGCCGCCATCGCCTCTGGAGAGCAACTGTGGATGCCACCACATTTGGGATCACACTGCTGCACCCTTAGGAGGGCCCTGGGTCGCCAACCCTCAGTTAGGACACCTGTAAGCTTCTGCTCCTGGGAGGAGCTCGGTCTTTGTCACCCCTGGGAGATCCCATTGGAGCACTTGTTTTACACTATTTAGGGCTCTGAGATATGACGTTAAACTACGTACAACGCCCATCACATTTCAGTATCATCACCTCCTGAACAATAAAACGAGACTAAATATCAACAGGAAGAAACATAAGTTGGAATTAATTTGCTGACTGACTATCTGTTCTCTATTGGCTGCAATTTGTTGGATTTACATTTTAGTCCACCAATCACAGTTAAGTAAGGGCTTGCTGGACGCATGCATTATGTACGATACCAAAACTAAGCTCCTGGGGCAACGCCACCCCTGGGAGGCCTCTGGATGCGCTGCCACACCTGGGAGGGCCCCTAGAAGTCCCGCGGCCATTGTGTGGGCCCCTGTAGTTGCCACCATCACTGAAAGGGTCACTGGGGGCGCTACAGCCCCTGGCAGGGCCCCATGGGTCGGTGACTTTCCTGGGAGGGCCCCTGGGTTCGCCGCTGACCCTATGAGCGTCCCTCTGTAAGTATTGGCATATGGGAGGGCCCCTGAGGCTTTCGCCGCCACAGAGAGGGTCCCTGGGGGTGCCGACACTCTTACGAAGGCCCCTGGAAGTGCCACCATCCCTGGGAAAATCCTTGGAGGCACCACCGCCCCTGCTAGTTCCCCTGGGGGAATCACCGTCCCTGTAAGGGATCCAGGGAACGCCATCGCCCCTGGGAGGGCAACTATGGGTGCCATCGCTCTTGGGGTCACTGCCATCCTTAGGGAGGGTCCATGGTTGGGCCCGTGGGGGCGCCGACGCTCTTCTTAGGACCCCTGTGGGCACCTCTGCTCCTGGGAGGGCTCCTAGGGCACTGTCGCCCCTGGGAGATTCCCTTGGGGCAGTTGATTTTGCACTATTTAGAACTCTGAGAGATATGACGTTTAATAAGTACAACGCCCATCAGATTTCCAGTATCATCGCATCCTGAACAATGAAAAGGAGACTAAATATCCAACAGGAAAACATAAGTTAGGGTGTTGTGCTGACTGACTGCTCTGTCCTCCTATTGGCTGTTATTTGGTGTATTTACATTTTGCTCCACCAATCACTGCTAAGTAAGGGATTGCTGGATACATGCATTATGTATGATACCAAAATCAAGATCCTGGGGCCACTGGCAGTGCCCCTGGGGTTGCCACCATCCTTGGGAAGGTCACTGGGGTGCCATAGCCCCTGGTAGGGCCCCATGGGGCGAGACCTTACCTAGGAGTGCCCCGAGGGTCCCCGCCGACCCTATGGGTGTCCCTTGGGCGTAGTTGCATCAGGGAGGTCCCCTTAGGCCGTCGCCGCTACAGAGAGGGTCTCTGGGGGCACCGACACCCTTAGAAAGGCCCCTGGAAGTGCCACCGCCCCTGCTAGGCCCCAAGGGGGAATCACCGTCCTTGTAAGGGATCCTGGGGATGCCATCGCCCCTGGGAGGACAACTGTGGATGCCACCGCCTTTGGGGTCACTGCCACCGTTAAGGAGGGCCTTTGGTAGGTCTCCTGAGGGCGCTGACGCTCTTCTTAGGACCCCTGTGGGCACCGCTGCTTCTGGGAGGGCTGCTAGGGGCACTGTCACCCCTGGGAGATCCCCTTCGGCCAGCTGTTTTTGCACTATTTAGAACTCTCAGAGATATGACGTTAAATAAGTACTGCCCATCAGATTTCCAGTATCATCACATCCTGAACAATGAAAAGGAGACTAAATCTTCAACAGGAAAACATAAGTTGGGGTGTTGTGCCGACTGACTGCTCTGTTCTCCTACTGGCTGTAATTTGGTGGATTTGCATTTTATACCACCAATCACAGTTAAGTAAAGGTTAACTGGATGCACATGCAAATTTATGTGCAGTACAAAATCAAGATCACAAGGGGTACCACCTCTGGGTGAGCCCCTGGTGATGCTGCCAAAACCTGGGAGTGCCCCTGTGGTTTGCCACCATCACTGAGAGGGGTCACTGGGGCGCTACAGACCATGGCAGCGCGCCCCATGGGTCGGCGACTTGCCAGGGCCCCTAGGGTCACGCCGACCCTGTCCCTCTGGGTGTAGTTGCACCTGGGAGGTCCCTGGGGCTTCATACAGAGAGGGTCGCTGGGGGCACCGACACCCAGGGGAAGGCCCCTGGAAGTGCCACCGACCCTGGGGAAACCTCTGGGGCCGCCACCGCCCCTGCTAGACCCCTTGGGGGAATCAC